AACTGGTAGAGAATGAATACGTTTATTTTGTTGATACTTACAGCTTTGTCCTGGAGAGGAGTTTAGATGTAAGTGGCTGAGATCAGGTAAGGGTTGTGGGAAAGAGTAGTGTTCAAAGCTTTCTCTGCAAGTAAGAAGGGGGAAATGTAAAGTTTATTTTCTTCAGTATGGGTTAGTGCTGTGGTTTGAATGTATCCCCTAAAAGCAGGTGTTGGAAATTTAAGCCCTAGTGCAACAGTGTTGGGAGGTGGGACCTAATGAGAGAAGTTTAGGTCATGAGGGCTCCACCCTCATGAATACACACATGCCAAATGTAGAGGGGCTTAAGCTGGAAGTTTCTTCTCTTGCACTCTCATGGCACACCTTCTACAATGCAACAAGAAGGACTTTGCTGGATGCTGGTCCCTTGATCTTGGACTTTCCGGCCTCAAGAACCATGATCTAATAAATGTCTGCCCATTATAAATTACCTAGTATGTGGCACTTTGTTATGGTAGCTTCAAACATAATTCAGACTCCTGGCTCCTAGTTTTCTGGAGTTTATTTCCTGAACTTCTTGTTTTGTAAACCTACCAGTCCTATCAATTTCTTATCTGTCTTTTGTCATCAAGACTTGCCTCTCCAATGTAATTAACTTGATTAACTGGCAACAAAGGATTGTGAGCATTAGCTTTATTAGCTATCCTAAACTCCCCACCCAGGCACATAGCTAGCGGATATCAAATGCCTGGAATGCATTTGCCTTAATAGCATCCATTCAGCAGTGAAGACTTTCCCAGCATGCACACTGCCAAGCAATCAAGTCAAAGACATAGCACATCACCTCAATCACTTATTTTGCAAATTCTGAAGCTCCTTGCTACTCCCATATCCATTCTATTATAAATTGGTTGATTTCTCAGCACTTACGTCTTGGCAATCATTAACATTTGCCAAAATTTTTAAAAAGTAATTCTATCAGGAAAAGGAAGAGAATATTGCTTTAATCCGATGAAAGATTCATGGTGAAATTTTACACCACTTCTAGATTATTTTTCCTTCAAGTAATATTTAGATAGCTATAGCTGCATAATTGCTGTTTTTATTCCCCTTCTTCCTCTCATTCTTTCCTTTCTTCCTCCGTCTCTTCTTTCTTTCTTCCTTTCCTTCTTTCTTTCCTCTTTCCCTTCCTCCTCTCCTCTCTTCTTTTGGTCATTTACCATTTTTTTTCTCAAATTTCACATCATTTGTGAATTTACAGCAAGGTATTCTTAGACTAGAAAGTACTGGACTTAGAGTCAGAAGACAAGATTTGAACAAGGTTCTCTACTTATAGGTGGTGTTGGACAAATAATTTAAACTTTCTGTGTATCCTTGGTGACTATCGCCATCTTATAGATAGAAAACTAATGTTTAAAAAGATTAAGTGAACTGCCTAATACGCTACACTTTGAACATTGCCCCTTTGACCCAAACTCTATCTCTTAATCATTGTTCTCCAATGAGAATTAAGTGGAGCTAGTGAATATTAAAAACCTGGACTTTCAACAAATAGCACTTAATCTACATTGGAACAATATGCCTTCTCCGACATGGCATATTTCCACTTATTTCCATAACCCCTCTTGTTGGAGGTATCTGAGTGTTTTCATTCCTCCCCGTCAAAGCTCTCTTGACTGAGTGTGTCTCCATCTTGAGGGCACTGTCCCCAGAGATGACAAGAGGAGTAGAAGAAATGGGGCCCATGGGACACTAGAACCACCCTTTGTTTCAACCATAACATTCCCATTTTATCTCTTTTATCTGGTGGGTTTCTTCATAAAATTTAACTTGAACAAAGTGATCTGCTGCTAGTACTCCCTCACCCACATGTAAAGAAAAAGTACAATGTTTGGCCAACATTTTTATGTTTCACAATCAACTCTGAGCTCTTAGAGCAAATGCGGATGTGGAAAATAAGATTTAGAACCTAGGAGGCATGTGTCCCTAATATAGCCAGGGAATCTAAGGCAGGATGAGAAGCTGATGCCACTTGGGAATGAGCAGGCTGAAACAGGTAGAATAATGTCATCTTTTGTGTCTGGACTGAGATTTTCAATGGCATAATCTTGGAAATAAATAATGAGTGTCACTATGCCAAACAAAGGTTAAAAATTTGCTGCTCAGGAAGGTGTTTCCTCTGCTAACTGGCTGTATCGGTGGCTCTCACAATTAAAGAAAAGTTTTTAGATTACTGGAAGATTGGTCGAATTCTTGAGAAGAATAAAGAACTCAATGCCATGTTAAAATAAGTAATAATAATTACCATTTGGTCCTCTCTCTGGTATTACTGTTCTTCAAAGTCATCATTATTCAGTCCCCTGGCCTTGTCTGCACTGGGCCACTCATGAGCAAAGCTATTTGCTGCCCCAACAGGGTTCTCTTAAAACCTGTGAGACGAAATTCTCACATTTTCAGTAAATACTTGTTCTTCTTTTGGCAAGCTTAACTCTGTTCTAAGCCTATTACTTATTACATTATTCTTTAACAAGTTGGATTTTTTCCTTCTCACATAAAAAGAAATCTGGAGGTGGGTGCTTTGGTTCATTCATTCAAGGATATCTAGTGCTGGGGTTGGATATCTATCGCTGAGATCTTCTTCTTCTTCCAGTCTTGATTTTAAGATGGTGGCTACCACTCTTGGCAGTATGTCCTCACTGAAGGCAGGGCAAATGGAGGAGGGCTTCCCACCTACTATCACTGCAATGAGTGCTCTGCTCCACTCCACAGTGGACATTCTTTATTCTCCTTTGTTGTAGCTGGCAGACTTTGCCATAAGGATATGGGTCCCTTAGTAAAGCAAAGGTAACTCTTACACATCAATCAACACTTAGCAACTTATTTATGCCCCACGACTCCACTGCTTACATTGCAGTGGTTTATCTTATTGTCTTGAAAGTAGAGCGATGTATGTGACTTACTCTAAAAGCAAAATATACAAACAAGAAACAAAGGCAGTCAAGTCTGGAGTTGCACTCTGGATTTGAAAGTCTTTGCATGAGTTGGCCCCTATTGACTTCTCTGACCTCAATTCTTGTCTTCCTGGTAGTTCAATGCCATCTTGTCCCACTAGACCGATCCCTCTTCAGTTTGTTCCTTATGTAAACTCTTTTACCTGCCACCACCATGCCTTGAAATGTGCTTCCTTGATCATAAGATGATTGGTATGCCAATATTCATTCTTCTCACAAATGTTACCTCCTGTTGGAAGCCCTCTGTGGCGACACCATGTATTTTTACTCACCCTAAACTCGATCTCAATCACACTGCCTTGTGGCTTATTTCCTCATAGCACTTTTCTACATCTGAAATTTTCTTGCTTATTTGCTTGTTTTCTCTTTACCGTTCCTTACTAGAATCTAAGACTCAGGGGCTGCAAAATGGTGCCTGTCCTGTTCACTGCTCCCCTTAAGCACTCAGATGAGCCTAAAGGTAGGTGTGTTAAATGACTGAGAAAGTGAACAAATAAATGTCATCCAAGAGAAACGCTGATTTCAGGAAAGGCGCATGACTTATTGAAGAGCAGAATTTACTTAAGAAAACAAATCATATCCACATTCCATAACAGTGTGACAAAGGTCATAGATTAACCCAGTGCTCTGTTTGTGCTGGTCAGGACACATATCATATGATCTCCTTTGCAGATGTGGGTGGAGCAAGCCTATTATTTCAGGGTCCTTGACGCAGCCATTTGAGCTGTTCTTGGCAGCTATGTTATGCATTCATGATTTAGGACAGAATGACAAAGCCATTTATAGATAAAGAAAAATCCTCTGGTGCTTTTCAGCGTATTGTCTTCCAAGAGAACCTTCAGTTCTCACTACCTGCCAAACAAGAGCTAGCGCCAAAGAGATGTAACATTGAAAGACTCAAAAGAAGTCGTGGAAAAAAAACAATTCAAACAAAGTAGCATTTCCTGACTGCAGCAATGCAGGCACAAGCTTTCGGTCAGTTTGTACTTTTGATGAAGAATGTGCAAGGCCTGAGCAATGATGCTATGATTTGTTGAAAACCCAAATAAAACAGCAAGTCACTTCCTTCGGAGTGGCCTGTCTGACAGTGGTATCTTTCCAGCTGTGGTACTTTGAAGCATTTCCCACAGGCCAAATGAGCTCCTCGCAGTTTTTTCACCGGAGCAGTTGTCCATTTTTGAGCCCCTTTCTATGAAGAACATGCCCTCTGTGTCCCTGCCAACACACCGGGGGCAAGGCAACACACCCTCTGTGTCAGAGCAAATGCAAGGGCTGCTGGCCATCCCGGCAAGTGGGCAGCTATTGCCAATAAATCTAGGAGCTAGTTGGTGCTTGTGCCTTCCTGTTTTCAAATGATCGAGGCACAGGTGAGTAGCCTTGGAAATGTCCACATGTAATAAACAACAAAACAACATTATATATCTTGATCATGCTTTCTTTCCATTTATCAACCTTCAACCAAGAGTGATTTACAACAATAGACTATTCTAGAAGCCGGACACAGTGGCCTATGCCTGTGATCCCAGGGAGGCCGAGGAAGGAGGATCCTAAGTTTGAACCCTGCATGAGCAACCTAAAAATTTAGTGAGACTCTGTCTCAAAAATAAAAGAAAAAATTAAAAAGGGATGTGGATAAAGCTCAGTGCAAAGTTTCTGGGTTCAATCTCTAGTATTGTCAAAAAAACCTTTCTAAACAAAAGCAATAATAATAGTAATGTACTACTACCAATAATAATGTAATAAAATGGAGATTAAAATATAAAATGTTAGTGTTCATCAAAGGATAAAACTTAAAAGCAGGTTTAAAAAAAACAAACCAAGTCGAATGCCTTTCTGAGTTCCAGAGTAGAGAATTCCAAAGGCAAGGCTATGTCTTAGATAGAAGACCCAGCAGAAGAAATCAAGACATATGGCATTTCTCTTGTCCCCATAAACAAAGGAATAAAAATGCTCAGAGGAGAGAGGGGGAAAAAGGAAACAACAGAAGAAAGTCACTTGAATATGGTTACAGAAGGTTTTTATTGAAATTAGGGAAACCACAAACGGTAGGGAGAAAAGGCCATATGAGCACAGGTTTCTTCACACATTCCCAAACCTTGAGGTCACACAGGTTTGAACTTTTAAAGCTTAAAAAACATATAGTACTGAGAACGCAATGTTTAACCCTCTTTCAAAGATCTCCACATGAGATTTTGTAGCCTAAGGAGAAAAAGAAGACATGATTGTGATTGTACCAACTGCAGATCCTTTTGGTAATTTGGTGATGTAAAGGAAACAGCTTTTGTAAGCTTTTGTACCCTTAAAAGAAAAAAAGAACAAAATTCAATCTTCCTATAAGTGCTAGGAGAAAGAAGTGGTAAAGGAGAAGGTGGGGGAAAGGACTCTAGGCCACTTTATTTTCTTAGCCACCTGCTCTCAATTCCCATTTGTCTTCTCAATAAAAACTCCAGTCAGGTTGTATTTTGATATCTGCCACTCCACATTCATCAGGTGACAGACTGTTCCAAACTAATATATTCAGCTCTGGATGTATGACCTAAAGAAGGCTCCGGAACTGGAGTCATCTTCCGGTTTCCACTGGAATTGGGGCTCGGAGCCTCACCTAATATCTCCCATTTCTGTATGCAACAGTCTGTTTGCATTATTTCATCTGGCAAAGTCAATATAAGAATTAATAATAGCTTTCCAATCTACAAAGAAAAGTATGCCACTTTAAATTTTTGGCGGTGAGCTGGCATTTTGTCATTTAATCATTTCACATCATTACACTGCGATATGGAATGTAATGACATGACACTCGTAAATGACAAACATTTGGTCTCTCCTGTAGGGGAAGAAATAATGTAATAGGAAGCAAATTATATCCTTAAAGGTTGCCAGAGTTTCACTCCCACAATTGGGGATTAAGATACTGAGCAGATGCAAGGTGAAAAAAAGGAGACTGTCCCCTACAGACGTCCTGGCTGGGACACAGTGTGATAAGTGGATTGTCTCCACCACAGTGGACAGAACATTCCTGCTGCCATAAATGTCCTTCCCTTCCAAGGGATCCACACAGAAATCAGTGCACAGGAGTCCTTCCTGCATCCACCTGAGAGGCGGAAAAGAGGGAGAGTATGGCCACACCATTTTCAGACATATTTCTGTTGTTATTTGCTACAAATAGTCCCTGCTAAACAGTTGTTCCAATTTTATATTAAGTATTAACAGACTATGGGAAGCTTTTCAGTGACCACGCCTAGTTACTTCTCCTTGTCCTTGAGAAAGCTCCTCCTCCCAGAGCTACAAACCAGGTCCCTTCTTCCTATAATACCTTAAAGTCACCTTATTTTCATTGTCCCCTACAAAGCTCACAACTCTCTGGCACAAACTCTTTTCTCCTGTAGTATTCATTCTTTGAACAAATGACACCACTAACCATCCGGTTGCATAAGCCAAAGACCTAAGGAGCACCCTGAATAATTTCATAATTTCTTCTCTCTGATCCCCTTCACCTCCATTCATTCTAGAGATGCCAGGTGGCAGATTAAACACTGGATCAGCAAGGGAGTCGACTCACCAAAGGGTTCCATTACAAAAGCCAGGCAGCCACTGCATTCTGTGTGCCCACCTTGTAACTAATACTCATTGTTCTGCTTCTCTCCTTCACTAGGCACTTTTAGCCTGAACAGTCTTCCTCTCCCCTCTGAACAACCACCCGAACTTACTCCCTACTACATTTCACCCAACGGCCCGAGCTCACTCTCCTCACTGCAACTAGAGAGCTCAGCAAGACTCATATTTGATCATCCCATCAACTATTTGAAGCCATTGGCACTGGTTCGCTGACAGGGGACAGGAGAGCTGGCTGCATGGGACTGCACAAGGCACGGAAGCTGAGAACATGGTTTCCTCTTGTGTAGTTTTGCCCTGCGCTTTTATGCTCTGAACCTCTGCTTTTTCAGGTTTGTCCCAGTTTCTCTTACTCATCCGATTCCTCCTCTCCTGCAAGCTTTTGTACTTGTTTATCTAAAATCCTCCTCCCTCACATCACCAAGCTGACTTGTATTCATCTTTCAGGTCTCTCTTCAAATGTCATCCCCAGGGAATATGATGCTTGTCACACGTCTTCATTGTCACTCTCTTAGGACCTGTGAGGCATGTCATCTCGGTTTGTAGCTACATGTGCACTGTGCCATCTTCCAACTCCTCTGTAGGTTCTGTGATAGCAAAGACCGTGGTTATTTGAGCTCCTTATTATATTCCCAGCTCTAGCAGAGGACTCAGTACATAGCTGTCACTCATTCACTCAGTCAACAAGTATGAAATATTTGTTAAAGAAATAAATCAGCAGAAGCTTCAAAGTTTGGCCACTGCTCTTGGTATGGCATTTTGTAGCCTTCTTCTTCTGCTAGTAAATGTAGTTTTCAGAGTAATTCTAAACTAACAGTGGATTCCTCCCATAATGTATGAACACTGAGGTCATGATACTTCCTCCATCAGCCTGACAAGTAAGTTTCTGGCCACCTTAACCTGAGATTGGTTATTAAAACTTCACAACAGACACCAGCAGATTATACCATTGGCCTTTTGTGTGTGATGAGCAGGGAAAAGTAACAAATGTCTCAGAAGCTCAAGAGCATAAGTTACTCAGTGGAAACCTGCACTGTGTCCTGACCTTCTACATCAGTGATGATTTAAGACAGTGGTCATCCACTGGAGGTGATGTTGCCTCTGAGGGGCATTTGGCAATGACTGGAGATATTTGGGGTTGTCATGGCTGGGTGGGAGTTGCTACTGGGACCCCAGAGGTGGAAGCAGGGGATTTTGCTAAACATCTCATAGTGCACAGCTTGGTCCCATCACAGAGAATTATCTAGCCCCAAATGTCAATTGGGCTGAGGATGGGAATCACTGGTTTAGGGGATTTAGAAACCTCTCAACTCACTCCTAGGGAGTAGCTGAGCCTATTTTGGAGGAGGATTCCTGGGGAGGGGTTCCCCAGTAGGCATTTTTTGCTGGTGTGGGCTTGGCCTCTTCTCACACTCAGTATTAACAGACCCGCAAAGGGTCAGAAAGAGTGGGAGAGAGACACGTCAGCATAAGGCTGGGGGCAGAAGAGTGCTTTGCAAAGATTAACCCAGCTGCCCAGGCCACATGTATCTTTGAGTTATGACCTGATAAGGATTTTGAGAGCTTGCCAAATACATGTTCAAGAAAGACGTGGAAAACACGGCACTGATAGTATCCTTGATGAAATTTCCTTTTAAGCACTGCCTCGTAAATACCAACTAGAGAGTCCAACTGAACCTATGGGAAATTTCCAAAAAAAAAAAAACTTGGAAAATAGACAAGTGCAGGTGGTAAGATATTTACTGAAATGAACTGTCTGTGAATGAAAAATATGTGAGCAAAATAGATATTTTATCTGTCATTTTTTTCACAGAAAGAGATCCATTAAGTTTCTCCATTTCACTCTGCTCCTGTTTGGCAAAAGCACTTTAAGCTAGATCTTCATTTTCCTTTTACAAAAATCAGTGCAGAAAGTAGGAAACTTGACACCCTCCTACTCTCTCCCCACAACCCTGCCTCCAAAAAAAGGAAAGTAATTTTTTGAAAGCCTTGGAATCAACTTCTGAAAAACACCAAAACACGTCTTGTTTCAGATTCTTAATCTTGTAGGTGGGATAAAAAAACAACAAGAAAGATGGAAATCGCTGGTTTGAGCTTCGAGGTCCTTTTGGCCTTTTCTTGACAAGTAGAATTTGTCATTACAAATACATATTGTTAGTAATCCATGAAACCCTGCAATGGATTAGTATCAATTAATAATCTATAAATATTTCCTGAGTAACTGAGTGAAAGAAGATACAAAAGTATGAGTAAAGAAGGGTCTCCAAGCTCAAAGATCTTCACTCTGTTTTTAAAGTAGGAAAATTTACACATAGATCGTTAAATTACAACACTATTAATTAAATTTTCTGTCTCCATGCAATTAAATTACCTTTCTCAGCAGAAGAATAAATGTGCTTAAAATATATTCACACCACTCTAGGGGTAAAACAGTGAAAGTCTTCCTACCCATTTTTTTTTAGGTTTTGCACAGATATTTGAAGATTAAGAGGAGCATTACCGAGTGACCAAGAAAGAACATGAAACTCGACTTATTGTGTGATAGGTGTCAGCTTCCCTGGGGCTAGTGTCTACTTTCTAGCCACTGCATCCACCTGAACTCCTGCACATTCAGCCATCCATGAGTATTGATTGCATTTGTACTAGGAAGGAGATTTAACCTTCTGTGATGATGGTGATATTCTCTATCAGCCTAATCCAAGATGGTAGCCACTAGCCACATGTGTCTCTTGAGCACTTGAAATGTAATCAGGGAAATGGAGAGACTGACTTTGAAATTTTAGCTCATTTCAATTCACTGGAGTGGCCACAAGGAGCTAATGGTTACCAACTTGGATTGCCCAGGTCTAGACTAAAATCTCCATCCTCACATGTTTGCTCTACAAGTGCCACAAGACACTGACACACAACGGGCACACAAACATGTGTTCACACTCACCACCAAGTGCCAGTGTTGTGCAGCTCTTTGATCATCGTCCCCTTTCTCACTTTCCTCTTCTTTGTGTTGGCTCCTTTCCAGAGGCAGGGTGCAGGCAGAGAGTGGCTGTCCACAATGAGCCACTCTTACAGGAAAGGGAGCAAGATAAAGCAGCAAACAGAGTGGGTTAATGTTTCTGGTTTCTCCACATTTTGAATAAAATGGCTCACGGAATAGAAAGAAAATGTTGCTCTACAATCTTTTATTGCTAATGTGTCTTTCTGTAATGAAGCACATTACATGGGCAGGAAAACGGTGTCCTCTTTCCCCAGCCTGGAGTTCCTTGTGCCCCAGGTCTTGGCACACTCTTCCCTCTCATCAATCACAGCGTCCCCAGGCCCCACCTCTTCCAGGGAGTCTCTCCGAGCAAAGGAACTAGGTGACAGCAGGCCACTGCCCTTGCAACCCGCCAACCACCCCCGATCCCCTTTGTGTATGTGGTGGATAGTTGCAATTCATTCTTTTATCTATGCAATAAATTAGATCTCTCTGTTTGTCTCCATCCATACTCTTTGGAAGCTCCCACAAAGGAGCATATCGCTAAACTCTGTAGCACACTCCATGAGATGAGAGGATTCCATTAGTATTTTTCTTGCCTCAACACTCACGATGCTTTGTGTGCAGCTGCAGTGACAGGCTCTGATTTCTTGTGCACCCCCCAACACCCGCAGAAAAGATCACCTGTAGTTGAATAATTTGACATTCATAAAAGTGCATTATAAAGTAAAGATACAAGACCAGCATGGAAAGCTCTGGGTTCTACACTCCTTCCCTAGACTAAAACTAACTCCTGACCTTTTTCACTACTGAAGAAAATGTATCAGGCTAATTGCATGATATGTAAATTTATATCAATAAAGTTGAAAAAAGGAGAAAGTGATAGCAGTACAGTGATGGTGCAACATGCATAGCATTTAAACTCTTCCAGTTTGCAAAAATTGAAAAGCATGTACAGACTTTAATATTTTAGCAGCATGAACACATTCTTTGCAACAAGCCTTAGTACTGATTGTGACATGGTGGAATATCTCATAAAATAAACAACTGTAAATAAATATGAAAGTAAATCCTTGTTTTCTCTATTGTAAAGGTCCTGGGGCCTGAGGTGGATTTTCATTTCTCTTTCATTCCCCTGAGCCTAGTAGAGTCCACAGTACCACTTAAGTGCTTAGTGACTATGTACCAAGCAGATACAAATCCAACTTAGTAGTTAGACACTACTCATTGGCTGGTATATAAAACACGGAACCACTGATAGTTTCAATAGTAATACATAGTGTTCCCATCTCAGAGATAAGAAAATAAGGTATAGAAAACTTAGGGCACTGGCTCTACATTTCCACCCTTGTTTGTGGTGGACTTGCTGGTGATTGGCACTAACCCCCTCCTCCAGGTGGTCCCACTGTGTCCTGGTGGTCAGAAATGTGGGCATCTGTGTAACCAGTGAATTCCCGCAGTGAATTCCCACCTGGTCATCAGGTGGCTGGCGCGTCACTGCTGCATGAATTGCGTACAGAACGCCTCGTTGTTTCTTCTTCCCGAGTGCATAGTCTTCCTGGGCAGCTGGCTAGAACATCAATAAGCGTTTGAGGTGTTTTTGGTACCGGGGATCGAACTCGGCACCTTGTGCTTGCGAGGCAGACAAGGGAACCACTGAGCTAAATCCCCGGCCCCGTGCTTATTATTTTTAAAAATATACACAGGCCCATGGAGTAGACAGATAATATCTTCATCCCTGAATTCCCTTCCCTATGTCATCTAATATAGAAATGACATTTAATAAATCTTCCCATTTGGTTTAAAATATATCTTAATATTTTAAATAGTCCACTACATGCTGTAAATACAAACCTGTACATATTCAAACATGTAAATATCAAGATATTTGTGCATATATGTTTATACATACATACACATATTTACACCTACAGACACATACATATATATGTACAAACACACATACATCTCCAACTGATGAGCATGCTGTTTTCAATTACTCTATGCTACAAACCTGGCTACCATATTTATTCTGTATATAACATGTTTATACAACTGATTATTCCATTAGGAAAACCTCCTGGGTGTAGAATTACAAGGTTGCATTTTACTTATTTTAATATTTAAAAATTAAGACTCCACCTTTCTGTAGAATAGTGGAGGATATACCATGCACCCAAGCTTAAAACATTTTTTTATTTTTACTTCGTTAGTTTTTGAAATGAGCTCTTACCATGCTGGTGTCCAACACCTAAGCTTGGGTGATTTTCCTGCCTCAGCTTTGTTTAAAAATTCAGTTTCCAAACCAGGGATGATGTATAGAAAGTCCGCGCCACAATGTCAGGCATACAGGAACCACTCAAAAAACGTTAACTGTAAATGCAAATAAGCAACTGTCGGGCTGTGCTTTGCTGCAACTTAACTGTAAGGGAGGATTCACCCAGACAGACAGCAGGGCTCAGCGGAAGCCTGGAGATAAACTGGATCCCATGGATCATGCCCTCCCCACCTGGGCACTGCACCTGCCCCGTGTACCCAGCCCTAACAGATGCATCTACCCTGCACCGGGTAGTTTATCTTCTGCACCAGGACGGCACCCTTGAGGGGCGAGGCCTGGGGTTCATGCAGGTGAGGGTGGACCGGAAGCTTGGGATGTCTTTGTTTTGATTTGCCCTGTAATCACCAGGCAAAGGCTCCGAGTGTGGCACCAAATGTGGCGTCAGGGTGATGGGCACTTGCGGTCCCAGGCTAAACACAAAGGGCTTTCTACCCCGTGTTCCAGATCTGGGACCTCGAGTCAGCTCTTGCCCCTGACAGAAGAGGAAGCCCGTTGTCTCCATGAATCCCTCATCTCCTGTTCTCTTTCCATCCTCCTCTCAATGGTTACATAACACCGGCAACCCAGGCTCCAGTTCTTTTTCCTTTGCCACCCCAAATACACAATTCTGGGTCCCATTCGAGTGGGGTCCTATGGATCCCAGGCTAACCCCCCAAATTAATTCCAGATCTGGTCTTAAGAGAAGACAGTCATCTGATGGGCTTGCTCTTCAAAGACAAAAGTATTTTTTCTCTATTCCCTGAAGAGGGCCTCCGTGATGGGGCCGGCAGACGAATCGTATTTAGACAAGTACAGCTTTTGGTATCGTAAACGTTGCTGGGCACCATAGTGCATGCCTGTAATCCCAGCACTCTGGGAGCTGAGGCAGGAGGATCAAAAGCTCTAACCCAACTTGAGCAACTTAGTGAGACCCTGTATCAAAATAAAAATAAAACAAGGGTTGAGGATGTAGTTCAGTGTGAAGGCCTTGGGTTCAATCACCAATACGGATAAACAAAACTGCAAACAGCACCCATGATATCACAGTCTGTGCCTGGGTCCATTGGCCCTGCATTGAGAGTGCTCCACGTTCACTGGGGAACTTAAACATGGCCCAAAAGGCAGCTGACTTCAAGGCGCTCACGACTATTCTAGTTCCCAACTGTCATTTTGGACAATTCACCTCCAACTTTCCGGAGTCAAGATGTGAACATCAGCGGCAAAGTCGGGATGGAGTTTCGGACAGGGATAGGGTTCCTGGTGATTGAAATGGATTTGCCCACTCCTGTGTCTGTCCGCACATCCTACTCCCCACCCTTGGCAGTGCTGCATGATGAACACACACAGGATAGAAAGCCAGAAAACTCAGGGGAGGAGCTTCTGCCATCCCTTTTCACTAGGAACTTCCCAGTTATTTGAGCCTCAGTTTCCCTTTCCTTACTGCCATTTGGTGGTTGTGGCGGGAGAGAACTTCCTGAGAGGACTTCATGAAAGCAGCATGCTTTATAGAAATGGAGAAGGGCTAGTTCTATCATTGTCATTATTACTATTTTTACATTTGGGGTTTCAAAAAACAGTAGCCTGGGCCATCCGGATTGTTTTCATCAGCCAACATCTAGAACATGAACCTGGGGGGAACCAGAGGGCTGACTGATTTAGGAACAAGTGACAATGAAGTGAAGAATGAGATCAGAGGCTGGGTTACTCACTTTCATTAAAACCTTGAATACGGTATGTGTCAGGTGCTATATGAGATTTATGCATGCAGCATGCCGTTGCGCCCTCCTGACAGCCTTTTTAAGGAGATAAACACATCATCCTCACCTTACAGATGAGCACAGAGGGACCCAAACAAGCGACACCTTTGCCCTAGGTCCCTTAGCAACCACGGTTGTCCCGGAAGTTCTGCAGAGATGACGCCTGTCTCCCTCAGGCCCCCGATCTTGATATGATCTTACCTCTGTTACTTCCGACTCATCTCGTGCATGCTTTGGGAGCCCTGCCAGGTTCGAGGGCTGAGGCCGCACTTGCCATGGACACTTCCCAGATGTTTCCAGGATGAGAGAGACTTGCTTATCTCACCTCTGTTGCACACTTGGGAAGAATGCCTTATCCTGGGTGGATGAATGGGCCTGTCTTACCTGGCTCAGATTCCGTGCCTAGCTGAGTCCCAAGAGAGTGCACACAGTCCCCTCCCATCAGTCTTGTCGAGTTGCAACTTTGAGCAGAGCTGACACTATAGAAACGGTAATTGGCATAGTATTCTCAAGGAGCAGAAGTCGATCATTTCCTCTGGCACCAAAAAAGCATAATCCAGTTCTGAGGTTCTGGAAAATGATGGCTGGGAATGGCCCTGAAGTCTGTACCACCACCACGCACATGCAGCCTCATTGCTCTCCTTTTGATAGCTATAATCCTGCACATGAAAGCAGCCATAACTCTTAACTATTATTTTAGATGACATCCCCTTTTTAACTTTAAGCAGTGTTCTTTAAACATTTCTAAACTTTCCCAATTCCTCCCCAATACCATGCTATGAATTTGCTTGTCACTGTAAGCTGTACACAAAGAGAGACACATACAGCAAGCACAAAGATATCAGGAAGTGGTTTTCCTAGCAACAGTAATCATCTGAAAGATCCTAGAACATCCTTTCTATTCATGCAGCATTTCGTGTTTTGAATAGTGCTGACAGGTGAAGTGGATTCATAGTATTTAATACAAAAAAATATTGCTGGGGATTGGTACTGCACAAAAGCTCAAATATCCATACTATTCACAAGCAGCTGAATTCACTGTTTTTATATCTATCTAGATTATTTAGTGAGGCACAATTGCAAAAGCAAATACTCACCTGCTCACCGAATGACTAATCCGGAGTGTATTATGGAAAGTCTGATTCCTTAGACCTCATTCAGACAACTGGGATACAGCCCTAAATCACAGCCAATTCTCTCCATGCAAGACAGTCTTGTGGATAGTTTTGCATGATAAAGAGACAACCCCCTTGCCAGGTCCCTCAGCAGATGTGTCCAGTTAGAAATAAAAATGAGTCAATGCTGTTGACAAAACCATCCCAAAGAACTCTATCTGGTTATGGCCTTGGCTCCATCAGAATCACTCTCAGATGACTCCTCCAGCCTCCTCATGAGCAACATCCCAAGCATATTTATCCTGGAAGAATTCTCTTAAAAAGCAGAACAAAAACCAAAACAAAACTCGAGTTCCATCAAACTAGGGAGGGGAGCGGCGGCAGGGAGAGACAGGGAAAATTCCAGACAGCAAAAGAGACTCCAAGAGAAAGTGGAATAACAGCACTCACAAGACTCGAAGCGGTGTAAAGCTTAATTCCATAGAGAGCATTTAAGTCACATGACCCTATAACCATGTGAAATCCACTAGGGTTTTATTATTACCATTATTGTCTTTGCTATCAAACACCACATAGTGTGAACCTAATATGTGTACAAACTTGTGCCGGGCATGAGGAGAAAGAAGAGTCTCACTCTTGGATTTACAAGTCAGCTAATTAGATGGGGTAATGAGAGGAGTTCTGAGTAACAACTAATGATTTCACACATTGAGCTTCAGTCTTTAATGATACATGGCTGCCCTCACATCAACACGGGAAGAGAAAAGTGGTTACTATGGGGTAGTGAGGTGTAAGCCCTAGAATGACCTGGGTGTGAATGGCAGCTGGGTGGGTGAGGGTAAGTCTGTAAAATATGGCCACCATGCCTACCTTAGAAGCCTATGGGACAGACCGATTATGGCAACGTTCTTAACACATCAAAAGCATATAACAGTAGCTACCATTCACAGAGGGCACCAATGAGAGACAAGCAGATGCAAACTACAGTGGTCCTACCATTTCAAGGTACTACAGTGGTTTGCCATTTTGCTAAAGTCAGCAAAATTTTGATAACATCAAATATTGTCAAGGATGTGAAATTGTGCCCACTCTTGTATATTGCTACTGGGAGTATAAATGGCACACACCTGTTAGTGACTGTATCTGATGCTGTTTAAAATGCACATACTCTTATGACCTAGAAATTCCATTCTAGGATATATGTATTAGAGAATTCTCAAAAACATACCCAAAGAGATTATGTAAAAAGGAGTATTTTCTGCCTATAATGCTGATATATTAGAAAAATCTAAATGCATATCTACAAGGAAATAGGTAAATAGTGGTTCATCCATACAGCAATTAGAATGAGTGACAAGGATTGCCCGTATCAACACAGCTAAATCTCCAAGATGTAAAGTTGAGCACTCACAAAGTAAGTTGGATAGATGCTTATGAACGAAATGATACCATTCATAAAATGTTTAACATGGACAACCTAAAACTATGTTTTGTAGAACATATATGAGACATATGATTTAAATGGTACTCTATTCACATATCCATAATACGTAAGATTTAAATAATACTCTATTCACATGGCAGGATGTGAGCTAAAAGAATGTGGAACGTAGGTAAAAGCTGACCCATAGCCCATCAGCTTGTTGGCAATGTTAGTGTGCACAGAGCACTGGGGTAGTACGTGGAAACTCTCACTTTAATGAATATTAGAATTTTTATGAAATAAACATGGCTGTTTAATGAGAAAATATTAAATTAAAAATGACATAGTACTCCCAAGTAATAATTGGGCCAAGAGTGATTTTCAGCTCAGTCTGTAAGCAATGTTTCATCGAAACCACCTTCTTAGACTCCGTTTTGTGCCAAATTACTTCCCTCTCCTGCCCACTCCTCCTTTTCACAAATGCACTTGTCGAACAAATTCGTGGGTAAACAGAACAAATGTAAGTTACATTTAGCCACTGACCATCCCTCCGTCAGACTTGACAGAGACAAGAGGAACTGGAGGCCGACGGGTTCCTGTGAGATTTATTTCTGGCCCCAGCAGAAATATCCTCTCAAGCACAGAGGCTCTGGGCTGCTGAGAACTTCTGTGCCCCCTCTTGCTGGATAGAGTGCATGCAGTGGGTAGGATGATCGATTCTTTTAATACCTGCTCACATTTCAAAACTCATGTGTGCCCCTAGTTTCTCAGCAACTGATGTAAAGAGGGTAAATATGAAGAGGTATCAGATTTACATCCTTGTTTCTGCTCAGGCAGTTTGTTTTTGAGTCAATCCATGAATGGGCAACTGAACGAACACTAACCCGTGGGCCCAATGAGAAGGGACTGAGAGAGGGCAAAAGGTTAAAAAAGGGGGGGTCAGAGAGGAGCCTGAGAGTAACAGCAAAGATGGTACCTCTTGGGCAAGCATAGAATGAAATTCCTTTCAATTTTAAAAAATTCCCTGAAGCACAAAACTTTGTCCTGCTCCCTATATTAATAAACAACTTCATTCAGAGAGATAAATAAGATATAACTCTGGCCCTTATAATGTCTCCCATCGAAAGTATACGAAGCGAAGAGAGGTAATTAAATTGGCAAATTCAGAAGGAAGCAGGTCAGCAGGAAGCACTTTATGATAACGATGCTGTCCACAGGAGGAAAAGCAACCCAATGGTCTGCAGAGGGGGAGCATGGACAATCATCTACAGGAGACAGATCTGAGTCTTAAAGTATGTACATAAAAGTTGGCTCTACCGAGAAGAAAATGGAGCCCCTTTTTTCTATTATGTCTTTGCAAAACTGCTCGTTGAGTATTTACTATGTCCCGAGTAGCAGGGAATAAAATGGTCAGCGAAATTAGGTGTGGCTCTGCCCTTTCAGAGATTCTGTTAAAAGCAGAGTTCACACATAAATCTGGACTCTCTAACCCAGAATACATAGATGGTGTTCAGCAAGGCCACAGGCAATCTAACTTGGCTGAAACACAAGTCTTTATTTTAGCAACCCATAACTAATGTTTACCATCTCCTTCCATTATTAAATTGGAGACAAATCCTGTAGTATTGTCAATATCTGTGACTTTGTTCACCAGATTTTTATATCCCACTACAATTGTGGAAGATTCTTAAAATATCATTTGTACTCATCTCTACTTCAAAATTACAGTAGTTATTAGACATTCCGCTAGATCTTGTTATTTGCTGTGTAATAAAGAAGCACTTTTATTACTATGCTACATTTAAAAAAATATTTTGATATCCAATTATATTGAAATCCAAGTTTCTTTGTAACCCTTGGTACTTTATCTCATGCATTTGATAACATTATTATGGCTTTCCTAGACTGCTATGGAGATCCAGGGAACAAATTATTAAGAAACCCTGTACTGATTAAATAACTGAAGCTGATAAAAATTGCAATTGCAACAAGAGATATAGAGGGAGCCAAGCAATGCAAGGAGAACACAGTAAGGGAGGAAAGGGAAGGTCCCCTGTGGAAGTGGTATGTGAACTAGGTTATGGAGAAGGTAAAAGTTGTAGCATCCAGGAGATGAGGAAATAACACTCCAGGGAAAGGAGGTAACGTGCAGACAGGCTTTGGGATGCCTAGGCCTGCAGGAATCTAAGGATTCTGGCGCAGGCAGAGGACAGGGATGCTGGTGCAGGGCTGAAGTGCAAGGGATACTGGTATAGGGCTGGGATGCAGGGTTGCTGGCATGAGGCCAGGCTGCCTGGTACTAGGCGGACGAGGGGCAGGAAAATGTGAAATGAAGCTGGAAAGTGGGCAGAAGTCTCACAGTCAGAATGAATGAGGTGTGGATGAGGAAAACACGGCAGTGCATGCAGAGACTATACATGGTTGAGTTTGGCTGAATAGCGCTCCTGTGTCACAGACAGGGAAGGCTGAGGCTGCATGGACCTGCAAGGCCAGGAACACAGCAGGTGTGCTGTCACGTGCACACCCTGTCCTGAGGGGTGATGAGATCCTGGAAAGTTTCCTAATGGACCTGCCTATGGCCCGTGCTTGGTGAACTGCTATCTCAGGGTCCTCCGGAAATAAAAGGGCATCTGTATGTACAGTCAGTCCTGTACATCTGTAGTTTCCAAATCTCAGATTCAGCTGATCAATAATTGAAAATATTTGGAAAAAGTACCCTCTGTACTGAATATACACGAAGTCTCTCATCATTATCCCCTAAGTAATAAAGTATAATAACTATTTATATAGCACTTACATTGTATTAGCTACATAGTCTAAAGAGATTTAGAGTATATGGGAATATGTGTATGAATCATATATATATATATGTATATATATAATTTTATATAAGAGATCTGAGGCCTGAACAACTGTGGATTTTGTTATCCAAGGAGGTCATGAAATCAATCCCTGTAGATATCCAGGGATTAATGTACACACACACACACACACACACACACACACACACACACACACACTCTGATTCTCTTTGCTTATGGTAGTTATGTTCTACAAAGTTACCACAAACACTGAATTAGTGACATTATTCCTAAGAGACATATGGTTAGGTTCTTATGAGCCTATGTCACACCATTTTTACCAAATGATCAATACATGACCTTGTTTTTGGTGTGTTTCTATTTAAAGACACCTACTTTTGAATATACTGCTGATTCATTAGTATTCACAGCCATCAGCACTATTACTCATACCTCTGAAGAAGTTTATAACACATCTCTTTTTCCTGGAAGGTCCAACACAACCTTTTTGTGCTTACAACACTAGGCAGCATTTCGGAGCTATGATTGAGAACATCTGAAATGGCAAGAATCACCAACAGAAAGGACAAAAATGGGAAACTGTGGCCCTAAGCTGCTAAAAGAACATTTGTTCACAGAATGAGAGTAGAAACAAAAAGGCAGAGTAGTATCTTGGTCAACTTCAGCCACACATGAGCACATTGGGTGACTTCAGACTCTTGCCACTCCGCTCCGATTGGCAAATGACTATAAAAACTCTCTGAGTATTCAATTTTTACTTTACCAATAAGTTTTAGTGAGTAGGACAGAATTAACAAATACGGGATCCAGAAAATGGAGGATGAACTGCATATATTCCTACATTTCTTCTTTCCTCCCTTTTCTGTGATGGTTAGGCCATCCCACATCCACGAGGCAAGAGAATAGGCTGGAAACTCGTGGTCAGGGGGTCATGGGACAGTCTTGAGGCAGAATTTCTTCTTCCTCAGAATAACCTGGGC